TTAGCTGTTTTTGGATAGATCACTTTATGATGCTTATGTGCTTCTGGCTTTTATTTTTTTGTGTTTAACTTGGGAGTCTTAAAGTACTTAATGAGATAATTGAAGAAATGCATCTGTTTTACATTTTTCGTTTAATTTGATCAAAAATTTTCTGGTTTTTCTTTCTTTCCTAAGTTGTTTAGTGCGGTCATTTATCCATTCACTTTTTTTTTGCAATCCATTTTTGATTTCTGAGATCGGAAAAAAGATTAAGTGAAAGGAGTTTTGTGGGACGGAGTTGCTACTTCTTTGTTGGTTGGTCATTGATTTTTGAAATCACGGAATTGTGATTTATCAGTGAGTTAGCGCGCGGTTGGATTTCTGCAACTGATTTGAACTCTCGTCTTGTAGCAGCGTTAAATCGTTTTGACGTCACTCTTATTCGTACCTGAAAAGATGTTTATCACACTGAACTGCAAAGCCACTCGAGTGTTATCTCGGTGCAGTTGCTTTGGATGATCTATTACAGTTTTCACTGTGTAATACCCAACAAGCTTTACTCTTGTATAATACAGTTTTATTTCTTCGACTTGTCTGTCGATTTATAACTGCAACGTTCTCTTCAGATGTTTCAAACTGAATATTCGTTGTTGTTGCAGCAGAGAAAATTTGTGATATTTGTAACCGATTGAGGATTCAAGAAATGTAGTAACAGTAAAAACGTAGGCAAATACGAAATTTAGTTTAGATTTGTACTGAAATTTACTGAGTTTGATATTTTATCTGTAAAACTGTTGCCGGGGATACTTTCATAGTGTACTGACTACATAAGTATCTTAATGGCAGCTGCTTTGGTCATAGTTCAGATCAAAAACTGGGTAGGTCGCAGCGCAAGAAAATCAGCTTTTCGTTTTTAATTTTATGCCGTTTTAATTGATGTTGTTCTGTTGTTAAGGCTATATTACTAAATAGCAGGAGGTGAAGAGCTTTTTTTTACGTTGTCATTCTATTTTTCGGTTTCGCATGTGCGTTGTAGTTCTTCCACTTTTCAATTTTTTTCAGTTCTAATTGTGAAGTTCAAAGCAGAAAGGACTCTTTATCTACCACCTTATTGTACAAAAGAGTTTAATATTATTTTCTGCAATTTTTTTTCAATTTTCAATCAAAATTAACGCTTGACAAGTGAAGGATAATTGTTATATATTGCCATTTTGATAATTCCATTATATGTTGGATATTTTAGACATTTATTTTGATTTTTATGTTAAGTACTGTTGGTGTTATGTTGAAATGTGTGTGTTTGTGTGTGTGTGTGTGTGTGTCTGCTTGTGTGCATTTTTGAATTTGTGTGGCTGTGTATGATAATATAAACTGTTTATTTAAATATGGTTTGAGAAAGAAAAGACCATTAGGTATGTAATAAAAATGCTTTCATTGGTTTAGGAAAGAATTGTTATTAAGTGAGTCATTGGTAGAAAGAAGTTGTACAGGCAGTTCTGCTCTGGGCTCTTCTTTTTATTTTATTTTTATTTATTTTTATTTTATTTCTTACTTTTATTTTTTTTTAAGAGCAGGCGCTGGTTTTCCTGGCACTTCAAGTCCGTTTGTTAATTGCATTTCATAATTAAAATTTGTTTTTCTCTCGTTTGATGTGATCTTTAGTTGCTTTGTTTGGAGTCCATTTTGTGCTTTTGTTACTTTTAATTTATTTTTTTTAAAGAAGCTCGGAGATGTAGTAACGGATTAATGGGAAGTGAAGGGGAGTGGAGGTGGTGGTCTCTTTAGCTACAGAGTAATCTGCCTGTCGTCAAAAAGGTTGGGTTAGAAATTTTTTTTCTAATTCATTCATTTCTTACAGTGTTACTTTCTGTCAATATTTCGTTTCTTATTACAATGATTCATTTAAAAGCTTCAGTTATTGACGTTTCTCTGTTATTTTTTGCCTCATATTTCGCGAGCTACGTACGATATTAGAAGGTTGAATTTAGTGAATGACTGTATGTTATATTCAAAGCACACTTCAGTATACTTTTTTTTTTTTGCCTGAAGAAAGTATTGCTATAAATGTTGTGGTGATAATGATAAGGCGATTTATGTTCGCCTAATATTTTTAGAGCGTTTTGGATATGTATTGTTTTCAGAGATAAATTTTGTAAGGTTTCCTCAAACAAAGTTTGATGCGTGATCACCCTTAAATGTAGAAGCTGGGAATTTATTTATTTTTTTTTCTTATTTTTGATCTTTGTTGATCGCTTTTGGAGAACATGTTGATGAAATGAGAAAAGTGAATGTCACAACTGGTAGCGTTTTTCTCTGTTTTATTTCTATTTTCATTTATTTATCTTTTTGCTGGTTGTTACAGATGTTTTATTATTTTTCAGATCATTATTCATTGTTGATAGTTGGTCTGCTGGGTCATGGACTAAGTCTAACTTACGTGCTGATTTTGTCGTTTGCTGTTTACTAAACCAAAGTACTTAAGAAGTACTCACTGTTACTACTGGAAGTGCTTATAGCAAAAATTAAGGCGAAATGACCATGATCATCTATATTTTCATCATTGTCTGTCCTAGTTTGTTGTTCATTGAGGCGCAAGACGAGGCCAGTAAAAAAGGTATAGGTTTTATAATTTCATTTTCAAATTATGGTAGCTAGTAATCATTTTTAAGTAAGCTTAACTGCTTATTTCTTATATCGGTCAGGGAGTGCTAGTTAATTGTTTGACTTCT